CCCAAGATCAACCGCAGGCTTGTTGTGGTCAGTCTGCAGAGCCAGGCGCGCTGACGGCGTAAATAGCACCACTACGCGAAGAATTCGACAGAGAGAGATGGCCTTCTTTCAGCAGTCGACGCAGCCCGAAGCAAGGGTGTTATAGAAGTACCAATTGTTGTAGGGGGCAAGGAGGTACGATAACTTGTCTTCGCATCTTTTCGCTTCGGCCTCTAACTCGCCGACAGATCAAGACTTCGCAGACTGCTACCCAGAAGAACCCCTCCGATCATGCTGTCACCGTTGCTTCCTACTCCCTCGCTTCGCCCTCCGATGTCAGCAATGCAATTGATGCTGCCCTGGCCGCGAAGCCGGCGTGGGAATCGTTGCCCTTTGCCGAGCGGGCCGCTGTGTTCCTGAAGGCAGCCGATCTCATTTCGACCAAGTATCGATACGACGTCATGGCCGCCACCATGGTAGGCCAGGGCAAGAATGCGTGGCAGGCCGAGATTGATGCCGCCGCCGAACTGTGCGATTTTCTGCGTTTCAATGTCCAATATGCTGAGGAGCTGTACGCCCAACAGCCCGCCCACAACTCTCCTGGCGTATGGAACCGGATCGAATACCGGCCATTGGAGGGTTTCGTCTATGCCGTCAGTCCGTTTAACTTCACTGCTATTGCGGGTAACCTTCCGGGCGCCCCGGCACTTCTGGGCAACGTGGTGGTTTGGAAGCCGTCTGACTCCGCTATTGCCTCTAACTGGTTGCTCTACAACATCCTGCTAGAAGCCGGGCTACCGAAGAACGTAATCCAGTTTGTTCCGGGCAACCCTGAGGAGGTCACCAAGACTGTCCTTGCGCACAAGCAGTTTGCGGCACTTCACTACACCGGAAGCACAGCCGTCTTCCGCAAGCTGTATGGACAAATTGGCCAGGGTACCGCAGAGGGCCGATACCAAGGCTACCCGCGTATTGTCGGTGAGACTGGTGGCAAGAACTTCCACCTAATCCATCCTTCTGCGGACATTGATAACGCCGTCGTGCAGACTGTGCGCGGTGCATTCGAGTTCCAGGGCCAGAAGTGCAGCGCCACCAGCCGCCTCTACGTTCCAAAGTCAGTCTGGCCAGAATTCAAGGAGAAGCTCATTAAGGAAACGAATGCTCTGAAGATCGGAGCTCCGTGGGACCCGCAGAACTTCATCGGCCCCGTCATCCACGAGCCCAGCTTCAACAAGTTATCGGGGGTAATTGACGACGCCAAGAGAGATTCCGAGCTAAAACTTATCGTCGGTGGCAAATACGATGGATCGAAGGGTTACTTCATCCACCCTACCATCTACCAAACCACGAACCCCTCGCACAAACTTCTCAGCACCGAGCTTTTTGGACCTATTCTAACAACTTACGTCTACGATGACACGACGGGTGACGCGGCCCAGGTATTCCTGAACACATGCAAGCTCGTCGACAGCACGACTGAGTACGGGCTGACGGGCGCGGTTTTCGCAAGCGACAGGACTGCCATCCAAGTCGCGCAGGAGGCACTACGTAACGCGGCGGGTAACTTTTACATCAACTGCAAGAGCACAGGTGCCGTAGTAGGCCAGCAGCCGTTCGGAGGCGCGCGTGCGAGCGGGACGAACGACAAGGCCGGCAGCATAAACCTGCTCGGCCGCTTCGTGAGCGTGAGGAGCATCAAGGAAGAGTTCACGCCGACGGCGAAGGTCGAGTATCCCAGCAATGAGGTGTAGAAAAGGTGGTGGAATAATTAAATGATGCTATGAAAGGAGGCGACTTTGGCTGTGAGCTACTGACTGATAATCATCTTTGGCGTCAAGTGCAATTCTGGCGTTTGCGGGGGGAAACATGGCACGGGGATATTTGTTTTTATCGGCAGGGATATGCTTTCTCTCATAACATGTCAATTTTGTTAGAATGAAACCCGACTCAAAATTCGTTATATAATTTATACACTCGTTTTACGACTGAAGGGGATCCGGCCTAGGGGTTGAGGGTGCTGGGAGAATCTCGGGCCCTAGCCCCTTTATATCTCATTGACTTGTATCTAGAGACTGACGAAGAAGCTTGCTAATAAATTAGGAGGTTCATATCATCATATTCGTCCTCCTATGTAGGATGGAGTGAAAGATACCCGGAACGCGCGCCACCCTACGTCGATACGGAGACCTAGGGATAGTACCGGCGTCAGCGCCATGGGATATCACGGCACTGGAGATGAACCACGGGTTAAAACAAACGAATTTTCCTAGCCCACGATGCAAGTATGGTGGTAATGACATCTCGGTCTAGGAAAACGACGAGCTCGGAAAAACTCCACCAATAGCTAGACTGTCCAAACGGCAGCCAAGCGTCAGCTTCATTCAATTGGGTGCATTATGTATGAGGGTATGCATATAGGTATATATCTTTCTTTCAAAATGGATCCAACAACAATAATAGCCAACGAAATCCCTTTTCGCTGTAGTGTAAGTAGTTGTTTGTGGAAAGGCAAAAGGAACTACTTCTTCTCATCGCCTGGAATTTTGTAGGCAAGTGCCAAGTAGGATACGCGACTATTGGATGACGTGCTTGCGTTTGTACATTGTGTGGGAATGTCTTGTCGGGGCTCATCTTTTAGGCCTGGGGATCGGCCGGAACCGGATGGTCCAGATTTGCGGCTTCCGCAGGATCATAGGGGCTCGGCTATTACCTAACGCGGTATGGCACGGGTCATTGCGGACCTAAAGATACCACCACCCTCCGGCTGTTCTCCAAGCTGCAGTCTCTCAGACGACATGTCGTAGTAATCAACTTGCAAATACTTTATTGTGACTAGAAAAAACATCAGACCAGCAATAACGGGGAAGCCAGTGTAAAAGCCGACCGAGATAATAATAAGAAGAAGAAGAAGAAGAAGAAGGAAATCATGGCAGACGAAATCAGGCCCTTCACCATCGCCGTGTCGGATGCCGGGCTCGAGGATCTGCGCGACCGTCTCGGACGCGCCCGCTTCCCGGACGAGATCGAGGACGTCGGCAGGGACATGGGCGCGCCGCTCAAGGACGTCAGGCGCCTCGCGACGTACTGGGCGGAGAAGTACGACTGGCGGAAGGCCGAGGCGGAGCTGAACAAGCTGCCGCACTTCACGACGACGCTGCAGGCGACGGGGTTCGAGCCGCTGTCGGTGCACTTCGTGCACGTGCGGAGCAGCCGGGCGGACGCCGTCCCGCTGCTGTTCTCGCACGGGTGGCCCGGCTCGTTCCTGGAGGCGACCAAGCTGCTCCAGCCGCTCGCGGAGCCCGGGGACGCGGCGCACCCGGCGTTCCACGTGGTGGCGCCCTCGCTGCCGGGCTACGGCTTCTCCGAGGGCTCGCGCAGGCGCGGCTTCGGCGCCGACCAGCACGGCGAGGTCTTCCACCAGCTCATGCTGCGGCTCGGGTACGACGAGTACGCCACCCAGGGCGGCGACTGGGGCTTCATCATCACGCGCGCCATGGGCAGGCGGTACGCGCCCAAACACATCAAGGCACAGCACCTCAACATGGACCACTACCCCCAGCCGAGCCTGCTGCGGAACCCGCTCACCTTCCTCCGCACCATGGTCTCCGCCCTCGTCACCGGCTTCTCCGAGAGGGATGTCAAGGGCTTCGAGCGCTCCAAGTGGTTCAAGAACGAGGGCCAGGGCTACTTTAGCGGTACGTATGTAATTCCTATTTTCTGAGTCTTCTTTGGCAGAGAGAACCCCATTTGGCGGACTTCTTTCTCTGTCGCCGGGGGGGCTCTTGTGAAATTGCACGGCTCTCGGGATACTGTATTATCTATCTTGGTATATCCCTTTTTCCCTTTTTTTTTTTTTTTTGTTTTGTTTTCTTTATTTTTCCTTTGTTGATTTCCTTGGGACGGTTTTCTGTCTCGAGATAGATTAGCCCCCCGGGGGGAAGAAAGAAAAAAAAACTAATTGCCAACAATCGTCCGTCACAGTCCAGAGCACACGTCCGCAGACGGTGGGTTACGGCCTCGCGGACTCGCCGGTCGCGCTGCTGGCCTGGATCTACGAGAAGCTCGTCGACTGGACCGACGAGTACCCTTGGACCGAGGACGAAGTGTGCACTTGGATTAGCATCTACTGGTTTTCGACGGCTGGGCCCCGCGCCGCCGTCCAGCTGTACTACGAGGTCACGCACGCCAAGAGTTCCGAGACAACCTCCACCATTGAAGACATCATGGTCTGGCAGGACGTGAAGATCGGCCTGTCGCACTTCCCTCGGGACGTCCTTATCCTGCCTGGATACTGGGCACACGTTATCGGGAATGTGGTTTCTGACAAGTACCACGACAGAGGCGGGCACTTCGCCGCGTGGGAATGTCCCGATGAGCTTGTGGGCGATCTACGGGAGATGTTCAGTGGCCCTGCTAAGGGCGCCGTGAAGACTACCTGAGGTCAAGCAAGTTTGCGAGGGACGCGAGTGATAACGGGAACTCGTGGCACCGGGAAATGTGATTGGTTTCGGGAAACGAATATGACTTCGCGTAAATCCGCTTGATTATGGGGATGTCGGACGAGTTTTATAACGTCAGAAGTATCAGAGGTCTAAAAGGGAAATGAGTCAAGAGGTTCGAGCAACTTTCATGAGGCCAAGGCTGCCAAAATTGTCCATATAGGAATACCTAGTACATAGCTGGAACCTGGAGGATAGCAAAGGAGCGAAGGGCTATTGGAGGAAATAAGGTTACGAGGGTACATACACACATATCACTTATGCAGCTTCAACTAGCAGTACCTACTTACTCAATCGTGCCCCACTGTAGCCTCGAAGCTTTGCGTATAAATAGGCCTTGGGAATCTCCTCCCAGGGAGGGAAAAACAAAGGACCTTGAGCCCCAAAGAAGGTTATCAGTGAAGTTGAACCTTTTTTTTCTTCTTCTTCCAAACCATTGAATGTAAGCCGTTGTTACAACAACCGGGTAGAGCACCTATGGGAGGGAAAGGGTAAAAAAAAAAGAAAGCAAAAGAGAACAAACACCATCACGGAGGTTCGAACTCCGGCCCCCAGAAAATATCCACGGTGATGAAAATCTGGTATCCTAAACCACTAGACGATGATGGTTGTTGTCTTGTTGGGAATGTCTGCTGGCTATTGCGCTGTAGGTGCTTGCCAAGAGGCCTGTGTTCTTAGAGTAAACCGGTAAGCTGCATAGGACTTACTTTGATTGCGTGTACGCTCCTGCCAATGTCCCTGTACCTTGTACGGCGGTCACTTTAAGCAGGTACCTAGGTAACGTAGGGGTAACACTCGACATTGTTATCGGTCCTGATTGTATCGGCCGTAGGAATTTACCCCTGTCTAGAATATCAGCGTTCGTTTATGAGCCCCTTTTATATACTCGGCTCTTAGACGTGCTCTACCATGTTTCCTCTGTTTGGTAATTGGTGTTGTCTGACATTCTGAGATGAAGCTTTTATTGTGGTGAATTGACATGGCCTATTACCTTCCTGTCCCATTAAACCAGCCAAAGTGTACCTCTAGGCATAGTAATTGAAAACGCCGTGATTATAAATTCCATCATTCATCGATTCCCAGTACCCCTAACGAGGCAACCCCTCTTACTATTCAGGTATAACGACATGTTGAACGCGAACTGACTGCACCACACAGAACCGGGAGACAATGGGAACGCAGTGTCACGGCAATCGGCCCTTGGAGTTTCATTGTTCTGAATCTCCTGTCGTCAACGGTCCCCCTGTTACAGGTGTCTGCTATGTGCTCCCGGGGTAACGATACACTTGATATCACTCCAAAAATCCAGAAATATCTTGACTGGTAGCCTTGACTTGAATCCCGAGGGTTACTCTCCCTACGCACGAAGCAGATCAGTGGTATTGAGACAGTACCCAAGCTAGAGTCATTGATTTCTACTTTGGCAAAGTTCTTGCTTCAATATGCTCCTACATCTCCTGGATGCCCCAGAGTGAATGAACCCTTTATTTACTACAGCCCGTAGTCTTGAACTGCTGATTCTTATCGTAGTACGGAGCATTTGGCGTGGGGGGACAAAACCCTCGCCGAAATAGCGAAATAAAAAGTTCGGCAAGCGTGCTCCTCGTAGCTGAATCTCACCACACAAGGAAAAATCAATAGTTAACTGGCCGAAGCACCGATAATTATTGCTCACATAGTAAGTATACTCGCACAGACTTTCTGGTGTAGCCAACCGACGGGATAAGCTAACACCCCCCCTTGCGAACCACCCCATCGCAACCCAGCTAAAAACGCGCTACTAACCCCAACTACCTCAATTAAAAATTATTAAATAACGCAACCGCGTTCAGTTCTCATATTCTCTTTTTACCCTCATTTTCTTTAGAATTAACTCCTTTTTATTGCAATACTTTTATATAGCAACTAATAATATATAGCAGTTGCAGTTTGTACTACTTAACTTAGTACTTCGCAAAAACAAACAGCTATTTAATAGAATATTAACTAGTTATATATATACTGCTGCTTTAATAGCATTTTAACTAAAAAATAATTATATTAATACTTTTAGATCTTATTTCTATACTTTAAAACTAAACTAGTTAATTAGGCTATAGGTTAGGCTAAGCTAAGCTTTATATTTTTAATAATTAAATTTAAGTATATAGCTAAACATATACTATTAGTTTTTAAAAACCTTAAAATATATATGTTTTTTTTTTTATAATCTCAAACTAAAAATTACTAGATTAATATTTATTAATTATTTGTACGTTAATAAAGCAACTATAGCTAATATTAAGCTATTTTTTAAACGTTTTAAAACTTTTAAATTAGCAAATATATTTTTAAAACAATTTTTTAACGCTAATAAAATAGGTATTAGCTAAAATATAAAAAAAAGTTATTAAATTATTTATAAAACTTTAATATATATAGTTTTAAAAAAAAACATTAAAAAAAACAAATAAATAATATTTTTTAAATATATTAGCAATAAAAGTATTGCTTTACTACTATTACTTATTTTTAAAAAAATTAATATTTAAAATTAATAGTTTTTAAACATAAATTATAGTTTATTTAAAAACTAGCGGTTTAAAACTTTATTTAATAAATAAACCTATAATTTTATTACTATTAATTAACTTATTAATATTTTTATTTTATTTATTTAAAGCTATTTTAGTAATATATAAGTTGTACTAATATATAATAGCTACAATTTATATATAAATAATAACTTTTTATAGCTTTATTTTTTAAATAAAATATAGCTTATTTTTTATAAACTATACTATAGCTATATTATATAGGTATTAAATATTAGAATTTTTAGTTTATTAAAAAAAAAGCTTAAAAATAAAGTTAAAAAAATATTTAAAAACTGCTTTAGCGTTATATTTTTAAAAAAAGATATAATTATAACATATAAATAGGTTTGCAATACTATTTTATTACTAAAAACTATTAAAAAAACATAAACAATAGCTAAAATATAGCTAAAAAATATCTAATTACTATTATTTTTAAAATATATTATACTTAAAAATAAAAGTATTATTTATAAAGTTTAGCTAATATTTATATTAACCAATTAATTTAAAATATTTAAATATTAGCTTAAACCAAGCTAAATAAAAATTATAACATTTATAAAAAGCTAAAATTTATAATATATAACTTAAAAATTAGCTAAACACTACTTTTTTTTTAATAACCTATTATAAAAGCTATTTTTTATAAAAACTAGCAAAGCTTTTAATTAGAAGGCCAAAAAAATTATAATTTTAAAAACATATATTAAGCTATTAAAAGCTAAACTAGCTAAAAAAACTATATTAAAGCACAAGTTAGTTAAATTGCTACCTAGTTATTATTTTATTTATATAACCTATGTACGGCAAGTTAAGCAAAAATTGCAACAGCAAACGCTATATATAAATAAAGCCAGAAACAAGGACGTACTAAAAGCAAAAGAAACAAAAACTAAAAATATAATTAAAGTCAGAACGTTTTAATATTTAATAAAAACACTAAGGTTGGCTGTAAATACTATGTTATGCTATAAATAATAGCTTCGAAAGTTGGTGGGTGGCTATTTTGGTGGCTGGGTCGCGATGGGGTGGTTCGCAAGGGGGGGTGTTAGCTTACCTCACCACTTGTCCCTGATGCTACTGCGTACAGTTGTATTACCTGCACCAAGTATGGTTGAGTTAATTTAATTTGTTCAATCTAATTTGTCCTTGAAGCGAGAGACCCGGAGGCACGGGAAGCGACTGAGTCCCCCCTTTCTGTGTATCTTACTTCCAATGGTTACGAGCGACTGGCACAATCTACATATGTCTGCGGACGCACACCCAACACTCGTATCTAAGCATCTCGCTAATTCTATAGCTATTTTGTGCCCTTCCAAATCCCAGCTTCTGGATTTGCGAAGCAAAAATCACTGCTCTTCCTTTTTTTTTTGTTTTTTTTTTTTTTCGTGTAAAATGAAGATTTCGGAGATATTTCCCCAGCTACGGCCGCGCAGCGCTGATATCTCGGCAAACTACCATCTGCTCGAAAACGAGACCGATTACCTCGAGAAAGAAGATGCGGAAAGCCCTGTTGTCCCCCTCGAGTCACGCGTCCCGTCCGCTAGGAAAATCGCACACAGAAGGCGAATATCCTTTTTGCGATGGCTTCGAATGCTCGGGGTTCTCGTTCCCAGCTTCCTGCACCCATGGACCGCTCAAGCCAGGCCAAAGAAACAGCGACCGACGGCCTGGCTAGGTTAGTATATCCGTTTATATACGTTGTTGTCTTGTTCCGTCTAACGGAGAAAGCAAAGATGGTCTTCGCGGTGTTGCGGCATTGTTCGTCGTCCTGCACCACATGTCGCTGATCTGGTTCTCCTGGGACATCCACAACGGCTGGACGAACTGGAACGACTACCTCATCCAGCTCCCCATCATCCGCCTCGCCATCTCGGGCCCCGCCAACGTCATGCTCTTCTTCGCGATTTCGGGCTACGCACTCAGCTGGAAGCCGCTAAACCTCATCCAGAACGACGAGCATTCGAAGATGGACCAAGCACTGGCGTCCTCCATCTTCCGGCGCCATTCCAGGCTGTTCATCCCAGCCGCCATTCTATGCGCGCCGGCCCCGGTGATCGCCTATTTCGGAGGCTATAGCGCAGAAGGCATGCCCGGCGCCGCGATCTACCCGATGAACCCGCCTCGCTTCGAAACACTCTGGGGCCAGTTGGGAAACTACGCGGCCACTCTCATGCCTATTTCTGACTTCTACGGCCGGGTTAGCGTCCCGTTGGTCTATAGCGACTCGCTATGGACAATGCCGATAGAGTTCAAGGGCTCGCTCGTTGTATTTTCTTTGTTGCTGGCACTGTCGAGATGCACGACACGATCGCGCGTCGTCATCACGTTGTGCGTCGCAGTCTATTCACTTTGGTACATCCACTGGGGCGAGTTCCTCTTCGTAGGGGGCATGCTCGTCGTCGAATCCAACCTCCGATCCCAGGGAGCGGCCGGAATGAGAGAACTATCACATGACGAAGGCAGGGACGACCCCGACGCCGAGCGAAGCAGGCCGCGTTGTTCCGTGGTTTGGAGAAGTCATGTCTTCCGCCGGCTGTGCTCGACTGCGGCGTTTCTGGTTGGATTGTTTATCCTCGGCATGCCGGAGTATGGCCGACAGGCTCCCGATAGCTACGGCTTCAAGACACTCGCCCACCTGATCCCTGCACATTTCATTGGTATGCGGGCTGCGGACTATTTCTGGCAACCGATAGCCGCCATATTTCTTGTGCTGGTGGTCGACAGCGCACGTTTCTTGCAACGGATCTTCACGACTCGGCTCGCGCAGTACCTCGGCCGCGTGTCGTTTGCTCTTTATCTAGTTCATATGCTTATTCTACACAGCCTAGGCTTCTGGCTAGGGAAATATTTCCTGCAGCTCATAGGGTCCGACTCGCAGTGGAAGTACGGTACAAGTATCGGTCTAGCTGCCGTCATCGTCGGTTTTGTAATCATGTGGGCTGCTGACCTAGGCTCACGCTTCGTGGATGCCAATGTGGTATGGTTCACCGTGTGGGCTTACGGAAAACTATGCAAAGTAGCGGTTAA